TGTACAGATATTTATAGGGCCAAAAGACCGCCAAAGTTACAATACAGTATGAGAAATTAAAGCATAAACAGTGCTGCCAACTTTAGATTACAACAGGGGACCCCTCGCGCGAAACTTTCTGATCATCACTGTAGTAATAGGCTTCGCTATCGCTCCGCCAATTATTTTTTAATCGTCAAAAATTGAGCGTGCTGGGAGTAAAGGGGGTGGTAGGGTACGCCAACAGGAGCGAGAGTTTGCGGAGAGCGGCGAGGGTGCGGAGTGCTGCGAGTGAGGGGTGTGGCGAGTGCCGCCTCTACATCCGCCTCCCTTTCACCCGCTCATCTGGCGGCTGGGCCGCTCACAAAATGGCGGGGCGAGCGGCCGGGCCGTGGGGGGGAGCCGCTGGTGAGAGGGAGGAGCGGGGCCGTGAAGCCCGTGGTGGAGGGTGCGCCATTTTGACGTCCCGGCTCCCTCTGCTGCTCTCTCCTCGCCCAGCGCGCCCACATGTAGGGCCACGGTCTCTAGGCCCCCGCTCTCTAACCTTGGCCGAGTGCGAATCCTCCGCCGAGTCCTACCGGCCTAGTGGTGGTACACAGGCTCATACAACGTACGCAAATGTTGACGCGGATAACCAAACACGAACCATGAGGCGCGTGAGTGCGCACGGAGTTGGACAAAAATACTGTGCGTCACGTGTACCTGACATCAACAAGCACACAAAAAAACCCTGAAAGAAGTTGGCGGACACAAAGATGAAACAGAAATTGAGACAGCATTGCACACTTCTCATTTATCTTCTCCATGAAATTCTTTTATATTTAACTGTTGTGTGCATCGTTTGCCGAAACCAATCCTCGAGGTAGAAATCAGTTTATCGTATAAGTATGTAATTATCGTAATTGTACATATTTACTTTACCAAATACCCAAAGTAGCACCTAAAAAGCACGCAAAAATACACCTTAGACGCCTCAAGCCCTTAGGTAGGCCAACCCGCACTACACTGGAGCACTCTCAGTCGTTGTTGCCTAACCTCCAGGCGGCGTGTGCGTTGTTGCGGAAGGGCCTCATCTTAGTCAGTGTAAATAATGGGCAATGCAAACGGCCTTGGCTTTTAGTCGGTACAAGTGTTGACTTGGGCAACCCTTTCCTTCAAGCGACCCAGTTAGCCGGCCGGACCGGGTCGGCCGGGTCGGCTGGTCGAGTCGTATCGCCCCGGACCACATGCGGCGCTGCGCCTTGCTGGGCTGCTCTGGAGCCAGTACGAAATAGAGATTGAGAGGATCTGTGTCCGGCATCCATTAGGGCCTCCAGGACCACCCGGACTCTCTCGATTTGGGGCTTGTTCTCGTCTTGGTTGTACTCCTTCTTTACACGTTCTGCCAAGAGTATTAGAGGGCTGTTCACTGACCTGTTGCAAATAAATAAATAAACAGATAAATAAATAAATAAAATTTGCGAATATGTTCTGATCCGTGCGCATGGCCGATTTATCATGCGCATGATTGACAAGGCTTTTCGTAACACACCTGCCAAACCACCCTTCCGGGGACTTAAATGCTGATGCCACAGAAAGCGGATCAGCTCTGGAGAGTGGACTATTTAATCGGGTCGAAGAAGATATCACACACCCTGTCCGAGGCGTGTTCTCTGTTACCGAGCCTTAGCCCTCCCTTCCTCCCTCACTGAGTTGTAGGCAAGCCATCCAACCCTCGGGCTCCGCGCGTGGCCCGCATCGATTTTGCGCCGAGTTCAACGACCCCTCCGCTGCCGGCGCACCCCCTCCACGCCTTCCCTCCCCTCGGGGTCCTTCCCTACGGAGCGGGCCGACACCCCTAACACAAACCTCCCCGCCCCGCCTGCCTGCCAGCCCCGCCGCGCGGCCCGCCCGGCACCGCGTCCGCCACAACACGGAGCCACGGAGCCGGGCGGCCGGTACCGACCGAGCTGGCAGCCTCGCCGGCCCGCGCCCTTCGGCTCAACACGCCGCGGCGTGGACGTACTCGATGCCTACCCCTGCCACCGGCACGCTCACCCTCACGCCGTGCCATCCGTCATTTCCATGGGTGGGGTACTTTTCTCACGGCACACCGTACTTGAATAACCCAACGTGTTTCGTAAATGGATCTGTTTGCGTTTGAAAGGGCAAAAAGGCGTAGCTTCGGGTACAGATAACATCCCCATGGCTCCTAAAAATTCTTCCAAATGTATCGTGGAAGTATGCCACTTGCCCTCAAACGCTCGTAATTTGTGTGCGATATCACACAGCGTAGCTCGAGGCGTGGCTCTTGTCGCTTCTGCCATCTCGAGAGACGCGGCGCCGAACAGAGCGGGCGACGGAGACCATCGGAGACGGATGAAGGCGGATTTATGAGATTCCCTTCACATTCTGGGGCGGCGGCGGCGAATTAATAAAGAGAGGTAACCGGCGAGCAGAGTGCTCGCCATGCTGATGCTGGCCCGGCCGGGGCAGGTGGGGAGCGCCTCGCGGCCACCGCCCGGGCACCGCCCCTCTCCCTCTCGCCGGCCCAGCGGCCCCCTCCCTTCACTCCGCAGCGCTCCCCTTTCCCCTCCCGGCCATTTTGCACAGGCATCGAATGGCGACAAGCAAGCCCATCCCGGGGGGTGGGTTCATGTGCGCGCGTCACGCACACTGCAAAGGAACGTGTGTGCGTGTGTGTGTGCGCGCGTGTGCGCGCGCGCGCGCGCGCGCGTGTGTGTGTGTGTGTGTGTGTGTGTGTGTGTGTGTGTGTGTGTGTGTGTGTGTGCGTGTTCTCGGCTCGCGCGCGTGTGTGAGGCACAGAGAGAGAATTGTGAGGGTGCGGGTGCGCGTTGCGCGTGCAAGGAGGAGCCAGTTGATTGGGATCCTATTCAAGTGGTCTGTCCCGGTGTGCCTGTTGGGGGTGCGCGCCAGCCACACCTCCGGGAGGGCTTCTAATGAGGCGTCGCGACCAGGACCTCGGGGACTTCAAAGGGCACTACATGCACTCCACGTGCGAGGGCGGTGTTTGTCGCACTGACAGCAGTTTTACTGCTTGTCCTGGCTTGTTGTCACTCTCCATTCCTCGCTGTCGTGCGCTTGCCCCTCACCATGGCAACATGTCATCGTAACACTCAAACTACACTGGAAAATCTAATAACATGTTTCGCATTACAAGTGTGACAATGTTGATGTGCCGCATGTGTGGTGTGACTGGGTTTGTGGTCACATTTATGGTGACCTCGGACCCTCTGTTTTCTGTCTATCCAGGTCAACTTCGAAAATTTTGTTTTGTCAATTTTTGGTGTAAACTGTAGGTGTATACACACACGCAGGAGGATTAAATTGTGTTACCAAAACTAGTCACATCAATTGACGTGACACACATGTCAAATTTGTTTCTCTAGTGTAGTTACTCTTTTACAAGTGCCTGACAATAATGGCATACAATTGAAGAGATTTAAAGGCACCACTCTGCATTATTGTGTAGTCTGTAATCTATTTTTTACCTAGCATAGTTTTAACACGTTCGTTTGGATTAGTCAGATTTCGGTATTGTCTCCCAGAACAGCACTTTCCCAAGTGTTGATTGCAGCACCATCGAAACTGCCATTATTGGTCGTCTGTGGAATTTATGTACCGGGTGATTCAGAGAAGACGCAGGTGCGGGCGGGTTTGCCTATCCTCGACTCGGCGGGCGTACGGGTCCAGGTCTGGGGAGAGGTGAGGAGGGGACCCGTGCGCCCGCCGAGTTGAGGATAGGCAAACCCACCCGCATCTGCGTCTTTTCTGAATCACCCGGTACACAAATCTTGCAAGTACAGGGTATCTTTGGATACCCCTCTACCTAAATCAACCTCTGTCTGTGCTGTGTAGCCAAGAAACTTTCGTGAGTTTTTCAACTGATCCACAACGTTTCTGTGTAGTTAGGAGGATTGCAATGTTTCTTAGCTGGGGTAAAATTATAGATTATTGACACCTCGACTATACTGAGGCCGGAGCGCTCTGTCAAACAGCGGGGGTGCGAAGCAGGCGAAGTAAGAGGGGCGGCTTGTTTCCGAAGAGTCCCCGCAGAGCGCGCCACGGGCCGCCGGGCTGGCCGCCCGCCCGAGCCAGCGCAGCCCCACCACACCCTAAAGGGAGCTGCCCGGTCCCGGCACTTCGGCCCTTCGAAGGACCAAGCGGCCAGGTAACGTTACGACCACGCATTGCGCAAGAGTGCAGTGCCCCGACGGGTAGCCAGTCCAGGCATAAGTGCAAGAGAGATGGGTGCGAGATGGCGGTCTCTCTCGGACTCGCGGTGCCGCTCGCTGCATCTCTGACCTTGCGTTCACATAAGACCAAGAGTCACGTGCACCAGGGGCCAACGGCCTCTCACTGGGATATTGAGCTCCAGACTGACCTGAATCGAGTCACTCTCACAGTCAACCACAAAATTCTCAGTCATATTTCATGTACTTTTATTATGTTTGAAAAAAATTCAAGATAGATTATACAGAAAAATGGTCAATCAGTTGGCGGGGCCAGTGGTGTGATGGCTCACTGGCGAGTGAGCATCTGCTTCTCCACGCACCAGTCTGTCATGCTGCACTCCTTTGCGTTGGCGTGGCTATTGCACCAGTAGCTGGGTCCCCAGGTGCAGCGGTTGGCGCCAACGATCGGCCTATTGCTTTCAGAGCCCTGCGGGGCGGCCTGGGAGAGAGCCACCAGTGCTAGCACCAGCACGAGGCAGAGGACGGCGGCAAGACGAGCCATGGCTGCCAACACGAGAAAGTCTTGGTTCAGGTTGGGTATGAGAAACTGCAGTGCAGCTGCAGTACATCGGGATCGGCAGCATATCCGACATCCGCGGTCTATGTTCTCGCCTCCCGTTTGCCCCGCTGTAAACTAGTCTGAACAGTTTTAGGTCTGGCAAGAACACTAATGAGAATGAGCTACATTCAGTGAGAAATGCAATATCGATAAATGGTCGATTGTCATCGGTCGAGGCGAATTCGACTCGACATCGATTCGGTTTGTCCACAAAATCGACGAAAATTCGAAATCGATGTCGACACTGAGACATACTGCGAGGTGCATGAGCTGCAAGGGTTGAAGGGGCGGAAAGGGTTTCAAGAGCGGAAAGGGTTTCGGGAGCTGCGCAAGGGTTGCAGGAGCTACGAGGGTTGCATGAGCTGAAAGAGAGGGCGAGCTTTGTCCTCACCTGAGAGAACGCGTTTGTATTGCTGTCGGTGGAACCAGAAGCGCGAATGGTGGTCTGCGCTTTGCCGGGCAGTTATATACAGCAGACTCGCGTCGACACGTTGACGTCAGTGCGAAAACGCCAGCGCTAAGTGGACAAAAGCATGTGAGTGACAGTGACGGCTGTACGGCACAGGAGAGGAGACGGGGGCAGGAGTTCCAAGAAACTTCCGACTCAAAGCAAGCTTTAACGACCACAACCATATTTCCCAAACACCTGCTCCACTGTGGCTATTTAAATGGTCGGGATGAAATAATATTAACGTAGCAATAATAACTGATACGGTGTATCCTATCGTTTTCGAGACTATCATCAACAATTGAACTGGAGAACATTTGTGACTCAAGCTGCAAGTCTGTGTTTCGCGTTGGTCAACAAAATATATGCGAGTACAACTGCATTCGGGAATGCGTTCAACATATTCAACACCTAACGTCCCAGGAATTCCTTCCCAAAACTTATTTTGTTTTAAAACAAACTAAAAAA